CCGGCCCCCCGCCCGGCAGTTTACCTGCGCCGCGGGCGGGTGCTGTCCTCGCTCGGGCGCCCGAGGTCCAGCGGCGGCAGCGGCGGCTCCCGGTCCCGGCGCTGGCTGCGCTGACGGTGGGGGATGGGCCCAAGGACTCAGGAGCCCCTCTCCAGGCGTCTAAACCTCAGATGGGCGGCGCCGCTCGGCCGGCCCCAGGGCGGCAGGCGGCGAGGGGCAGCGCAACCGTGGCGGGCAGTCCCCGGACCCGGGCTGGGCCCCGACTCTAGCACCGGTGGCTGCTCCCCGAAATGGCGCCCGCCGCGTCTCACTGCTCGCAGGCTCCGCGCACGGCACGGGGGTGCCCAGCGCCCGGCGCAGGGGCTCTCGCGAGACACAGGCCCAGACAAGGCCCCGCGTACCCGCGCACGCCGCCTCTCGCGAGACATCGCGCCCGGAAGCGACGGCTCAAGCTCTTGCGAGACTTGGGCGGATGGGCGGGGCCGTCACGCGTCTTCATGCTCTCGCGAGAGCACGCGCGCCCGCCCGCATGGGGCACGGCGGGAGGGTCAAAGGTGAGCGGCGGGGGCTCAGCCCTCGGGCTTGCCAGCCCCGTCCCGGCCAGGGTTGGGGTGCTGTGGCCTGCACCCCCCGCCCCCGGACGCTTCCGCGGAGCTGTGCGGGACCCCGGGCGCCCTCCTGTAGCTGGTGCGGGGCAGCGGGTGCGTCTTGTGTCCGAGAGCCCAGTGCGGGCCTGTGGGCTGGGAGCCTCCGTTCCTTTTTTGGCTAGGGAACAGCCGTGTCCTGGATCCCTCGGGGCCTCCCTGGGGGCTGGAGCCCTAGCGCTGAGCCCTGTCATCACTGGCTCTTGCCTCTGGCAAACTTGCTGCAACTCCTCCTCTCTTGTGGTTGTACTCTGCCGTGTGCCCCAGTCCCTCTCCTGGCCACACACGGGTGTCTTGTCCAGGTTAGGTGTTTTTGCAAGGGAAATAGTTTGGGGTTTTTTTTCCTCTTCCTTGAGCACCATGTAACCATAAGTGGGTTTATAGTCTCTTAGCTCCAAAAGCTGTGTTAGTTCTTTAAATGCTTACTGTACTATAGTTACACAGGAGTGTATCCTGTGTAGACAGGCCATTTAACACCTGTGTCCAAATTTCTACCCACATCTGTTACATCAAATAACTTTGTGCTTGCTGTAAAAGAAAACTAACACCTCTCCTGAGATCCCAGTTGACCCTTAACGCTAACATTTCCAACGTAAGCACAACATCTTGGGTGGCACGGCCAAGTGAGAATCGTGTTGGGGATCTCATGCCAGCAGAGGGAAGCCTGTTGCCTTTTCGACAGGTGAAAAGAATGAAACTGTCATGACAAACACACAACGTGTGTAAGTCATGTCCAGCTTGGGAAGTCCCTGAGCTGCTGATGCTGGAGCCTGAGAGCACAGGAGGAAGCATCATACATGCTCACCTTGTTGAAATATTTTTGTCATGGGCCAAATGGATGATGGTCTGGGGTAGCATTAAAGATTTGCTGTTTCAAGCTTGTTATTTATTGTAGGAGAGAGGGATAGAGAAGATTAGGTCATAGATTGGGCAAGGGTGAGTGAAATTGTTTGTGTTCCTTCGTGACTGGTTCTTCTGACATGATGATTTAACAGGGCCTGTGGTCTGACCTTCCTCCCTTCGGCTGAGGGCTCGGCAGGATACAATAAGCTTAAGAGTAACAGCATCTGAAGGTGTTGTGGCTGTACCCTTCTGCCAGCGCTATACCCCCCTTAATGGGCCACCACTGTCTGGCAGGTCTTTAGCCACAATAGTCCCAAGTACGACTTAAATTGTCAGTGACCTGGAGTTCTGGTGCAGCTTTTGTCCCAAGCCCCTGCAGACTGCTGGAGCCTTGAAGCTGAATGGTTTAACTCAGTAAGTAGTGTTTTCTGAAACAAAACTGGCTTGTCTCATTAACAGTGCTTTGTTTTCCCCGGGAGCCCACAGAAAGGCTTACTTGTATTTAAATTTAATAATACAAACTAAATGTTGGCCTATTGTTCAACATAGTGCAGATAACATTGAGTGGGTTTCCTGCTGAAGTCAGCACAAGATAAGCAATAATGGCTGGGGGGTTTAGGTTATTTCTTTTTTGTCCTATGAATCTGAAAGAATGTAAAGAAAAGTTTTAAACAAACTTTGCCTCCTGAAATGACAATTTTGCTATTGCATATAGAAATACTTAAACCAATTAAGGTGTGAGAACTCAGGCCCATAGATTTCCAAATGAAAACCTGTTTTCCCGAAACTCCCAGACTACTGTGTCATTTAATGTCATTTCTAACAAAGTTCCTGAAATGTTAATAGCCTAAAAAGATCCTAAAGGTCTTGCACAGCTGAACTGGTCAACTTAGTTGAGTTTGGGACATTTAGGAAAAATGAACTGTTTAAAAAAAAAAAGCATGGCCGTAATAGGTCTATTCCAACCTAACCATTTTTGTACAGGTTGGTTGTAAACAAAATTAATAATTTTGTTGCAGACAAAATAAAGTTTATCGTGGTGGTTCTTGTAGCACCTCACTGGCTGCCTGTCCCTCACACCGTTGCCATTGCCTGCTGCTCCTTGGTGCTGCCCCCAGTCAGCCATCCTGAGGTCAGGCCTAACTGGCTCCCGGCATCCTGTTCCTCTTCCGTCATCATCTCCTTGCGATTTAAGTGTGTGCTTAGGCTCCTGTTGGTGGATTTCCCTGAGGGTTTTCTCTCCCATTGTTTGCCTGTGGAGCCAGGCTGTGGAAGGAGGCCACAGACCTGCCTTTTTTTGTCTATTCTACTAACACCCCCCCTTGCCCTTGAGTGATGACAGGTGGTGTGGGGCACGTAGGGCCTGGGAACTTAAAGACTGGGTGGGGGTGGCTAATGAGGGACCTCAACTGGCAAGCAGCTGCACAAGCTCCATGTCCAGCCCTGGTGTGCCATAGGGCTGCCCTGGCTGATTGGCCGCAGACATTCAGCGCTGTGGGGCTGTTGGTGCTGTAGCTGCACGCTTGGCTGGATTCACTTCTGGAGCTGACGGGAAGGCCGGGGGAAGCTCTCAGTAACGCATTTCCTAACAAAAGTTTTCCCGGTTGTGGGATAGCTTCATCTGTAGGAGAGGCTGGCTGTTGCTGTGGTGCTGTGGGGGGAATGACAGCCACGACTGGTGTTTCTTCCTCATCCCTGACTCTGCTACAAGTGCAAGGGCATTCGCTTAACGCACGTCCCTGGGGAGACGCAGAGGGTCTGGAGTGGGGGTGGGAGTCGTTCGTGTTACCCCGCGCTGCGGATGGTGGAAGGGATCTCGCAGAATTAACAAACGAAAAAAAAAAAAAAGTGGAAAGCAAAAGACTCTGTTGTTTCCCACACCGGGAGTCGAACCCGGGCCGCCTGGGTGAAAACCAGGAATCCTAACCGCTAGACCATGTGGGACCACATAGGCACAGTCCTTGCCGCGCCGCCTGCTGCCTGCGCCGCCGGCTGGGGAGGGGAGAGGCGCGGGAAGGACCCGCGGGCGGGGGACGCCCGCTGCCCTCTGCACAGGGTCGGGCAGCCGCGCCCGGGGGCCGCGCGGGCGGTGCGTGGACGCCTTTCCCCGTGCAGGCGTGCCCGGCTGAAGCCGTGAACCTGCGGGACCGGGTCTGTCTCCCTGGCAAGAGGTCAGGCAGGTGGCCGGGAGCGCGATGTGGGAGTTCTGACAGAGGCTGCGAGTGAAGGGGTCCGGCTGCCAACGCTTCAGTTTTTGCACTAAGCGAAGAAGGCTGATGTGCAAAACCCCGCAAAATGTAGGGTCATACTTCCCTAAGTCGTTAAAATTCTCGGAGTTAAAAGATGGGGATGGAGGCTGACATGAAGAACTGAAGAAGAAGGAAATGACAAGTGGGAGGATGAATGAATGAAGTCTAGCCTAAAAGGTACAGACCCTGGGTAACGGCCACAAATGTGCTTCTGTCCAAACTCTAGCAATCAAAAAATAAGGTGGAACAACTGGACTACCCAGTTTTGACTGAGAACAACTTCATCTGAAATGGGTGCAAGGCAGATAATCAGTGGGATGTGGCAATAGCAGGCTACAGATTATACAGGAAGAACCGACTAAACTGTACTTGTGGAGGGGTGATGCTGGATGCCAAAGAAATCTCAGAGTCAATGTGCCTAAACGATTTTAATCTTTCAACATGTAACACTGAACCCCTATAGTTAGAAAATTCACACCTAAATAGGCAAAAGGGAGTATTAGGACTATGGTAGTGAAGTCTTCAAAAGCAGTGGTGGTGACAGTGATACATTTAGGAGATCAGAGAGGCTGCCAAGACAGAAAACATCATCAGAATGAAAAGTCTCCAATTACCCCCACATTGAGTGAGTAAATGTCACATCAGCATATGAAGCAGTTGCTACATTTTAGACACCACAAAGGCTTGATTTTTGGAGCGGCTGGTTGGAGAATATAAAAGAAGCAACTGGCTTTAGTGCTGAGATGTGTGAGGGGCTTCATTCAGAACAGTGCTATTAAAAAAGCTATGTATAAGAGTGAGCACAATGTATTCAACCGAGTGTCATTAAAATAACAACAGCAGCAAAGAAATTCCTCTCAAAAGAGCTTATTAAAAAATGAATAAGCCAAAAGGATAACATGCTTGTAAGAAGCATGGAGATTGCTAAAATGGCTCAGAACAGTTTATATCACCAGGAGGAAAAGACTAAAAACAGGCTGGTATGGTGTCGTGGTTTAACCCCAGCCAGCAACTAAGCACCACGCAGCCGCTCACTCACTCCCCCCCCACCCAGTGGGATGGGGGAGAAAATCAAGAAAAGAAGTAAAACTCGTGGGTTGAGATAAGAACAGTTTAATAGAACAGAAAAGAAGAAACTAATAATGATAATGATAACACTAATAAAATGACAACAGTAGTAATGAAGGATTGGAATGTACAAATGATGCGCAGTGTAATTGCTCACCACCCGCCGACCGACACCCAGCTAGTCCCGAGCGGCGATTCCCTGCCCCCACTTCCCGGTTCCTATACTAGATAGGACGTCACATGGTATGGAATACACTGTTGGCCAGTTTGGGTCAGGTGCCCTGGCTGTGTCCTGTGCCAACTTCTTGTGCTCCTCCAGCTTTCTCCCTGGCTGGGCATGAGAAGCTGAAAAATCCTTGACTTTAGACTAAACACTACTTAGCAACAACTGAAAGCATCAGTGTTATCAACATTCTTGCATACTGAACTCAAAACATAGCACTGTACCAGCTACTAGGAAGACAGTTAACTCTATCCCAGCTGAAACCAGGACATACGGCTACAAAGCATAGTAAAGAAAGCTATCAA